GTGTAGGGTGGGGGGGGGGTGGCTCTTGCTGCTATGTGCACCCCAGGATGGCTGTGGGCTTGGGGGCTGTGCTGGGCTTTTCCTGGGGAGTGTGTGGCCCTGGATCTGTGCACCGGGTGAGAGCAGGCTGCCATTGCAGGCTGAGGCTGGTGACAGCACTAGGCTCTTGCTGGTGCTTGGGACAGATGTCAGCCGGCTCTCATCCCGTGAAGAGATCTGGGGGCACATGCCCCCCAGGAAGAGCCCAGTTCACCCCCCCAGCCTGAAGCCCTCCCAGGGTGCACGTAGCAGCAAGAGCTATGCCTGCCTGCCCCACACCACTGACAGTCCCCCAGACTTTGCTCTTTGCTGCAGCCCCAGGACTGGCCAATGGGCTGTGCTGCGCCCCTCCCCCTTCCCTAGTCCCAGCCTTACTCCCTCCCTCCCTCCCTGCCATGGGAATGTATTATTGTTTTCCCCAATTTAAACCGTTTCTCCCTGTTCTTCCTTTAATCCCAATTTCATCCTGTTTTTTACGTTTGAAAGATAAACGCCAAAGAATTCCTGGATTAAAAAAAATAAATAAATAAAAACTGAAAATGCAGAACACTAGTCATTCAATCTTTTCTCTTACGTAAGTCTCATTTGTTTGTTCATTCATTGAGTCATTTGTGCATTGGTTCAGTCTTCTCTCCATCTGGTCACCCTCCCACCCACCCACCAAGTTTGTCTCACCTTGAATAGGGTCACTGTGGCACTGTAGCACACACTCAGGAGGAAGAGGGTGATGAAGACAGAGATGGTGGCCCAGAGTCCCTCCATTTCCTCATCTTTATCATAACTGCACATGTCCACTTGCACAAACACCTCTGTGAGGGGGCAGAAAGAGATGTTATCACTGACCAGTCTGCCATGACAATAACCCTTCCAGAGAAGGATTAATTTGAATGTCCAACACCATGTCACCTACTGCCCTCCACCCCTTGCTTCCTGATGTCTATGTCTGTCTCTCCATCCACCCCTACACACATTTCTCTTCAGGCAAAATCCTCTCTGTCCATCCATTTATTTCCACCTTCTTTCTGTAGTGGTCAGGATGTGTCTGGCACTCCCTGATATCTACCATGTCACTCATGGCCCCAGGTCATTGCAGCCAAGCATGGTTTTGCATAAATTCTGAGCTTCCCCCTGAGCTGCCCCTGCTCCCCTATGAAACCTCTTCTTTCAGCACTAAGAGGCCGCAAGCTAAGTAGATGGGCTGTTTGGACTGTCCTCCATAGAACAACCTGGGGGTGAATTTACTGCATGCAGGTACACAGGACCTGGGATCAATTCCCATCTCTACCACTACCTTGCTGTGTGACCTTGCATCATTGCCATGTCTTTCTGTGCCTTGGCTCTTTGTGGGTGATGGGAGAAAAAATCTGTTCATGACTCACTGGGAGGCTAATTGCACTGGAGTCTGGGAAGTGCTGGATGCTGCTGTGGTGGTGAAAGAGCCCTCATCTGAGCTAAAAAGACAGGAAATAATTTGTGTGGATCTCTATGTCCATTTCTGTAAGTGTCTAAGTTTGTACAAATATGGCAAAGTGTGAATGAGCATATGAGTGCTGATGGATGGGAAAAACATCAATGGATGCATGACAAATACACTGATAGAAGCAAGTGTGATGGGTGGATGGATGGATGGACGGACAGCAAATATACTGAAGGGAGGGCATATAGAGGGCTGGATCATAGGAGGAAGATATATAGAGATGGATGGATGGATGGATGGATGGGTGGAGATTCTCTGAATCCCCTCAAAACAGGCATGCAATATCTGTAACTCTTTTCCTCAGTAAGGGTAGGTTCAGTGAGGAAAGGCAGGACCAAGGCCCTGAAATGTATGTGAGTTACCCTCTTTGCCCAAGCACTGTCTCATAGGGCTATCTACTGGTCTCTGGGATGGGTTTGCTGATTCCAGTACAGCATCCTCATGGTGAATAATATAGATTTCAGAAGCACACCTTTACAGAACCCCCAGAAACTGTCCACCCATCCAGCCAGCCAGCCAGCCACCCACATGCTTTTCCTTCTATTGACATATTTCCTATCCATCCATCCATATATTTATTGCCCTATTCTACACGTGCACCCATCCATGCTCATCAGTCCATCTACACTTGTATCTCCATCTTCATGTCTCATCCAGCAACTTTTCATCCTGTGCCCATTTATCTTTGTCTTTTTATGGCAATCTATCCAGGCATCCAGCTGTTGAACCTTCAGTGCTGTCCAGCTAGGGGGCAGGCCTGGTGGCTAGGGACAGTGGAATGGCCTCTTAGGATCCCTGGTTAATGTTCACAGCTCTGCCACTCACTAGTTGGGTGGCTTTGGTCAAGTCATATCCCTTTTTGGAGCCTTTGCTTTACCACCTGCTCCTGTCCATTTTGACTGGGGGGTCTTTAGCGTGGGGACTGTTTCTCAATCTTTGTTTCTCTGGGACTGACCTAAGGGCTTTAGGCACTGGAAGCGTATGCACTGTGGAACACACATAACAGGATCTATCGATCCTTGTTTCTGCAACATGTCAGTCCTTTCCTCTGAAGTGTATTTCTGTCCACCTTACTGTCCATCTGAAAACTGTGTTCATGTGTTCAAATAGCCATCCCTCCAAAGTCTGTGTCTACCTTATTTTCTTCCTGTAGTCAGTCCAAATTAACTATTTTCTCTGCAGTGTCCATTCCGTCTACTTCTCCAACCATTTCTTTTTTATTGGCATAGAGGGATGGATGTATATACCCATCCTTGCTTCCATGGTGTAGAAAGGCATCAGCTGGTTCACTGAGTTCTTTCTTCTGCTGTCACAGACAACTTCACCTCTGGGCCCTTCCTTAAAATTATCTAGCTCCATTGAAAACCCAAAGACAATTGTGGTTCAGTTGGTTTTGTTTCTTCTCATCCATCAACCCTTATATTTTCATTGACTCTTTGCCATATTTCTTCCTATATGCTTATATTGGAAAGGCTGGTCCAGCACTTCATTCATGGTTGGAAACCTAATTTTTCCCTTAGTTTATGCCTGCTTGGTGTCCATCCATTTTTTTCATGTGCCAACACAGGTCTGGTTTAGTGAAAATGCTTCTTTTCTCTCCTGGTGTTTACTCCAAGAATGTGTTTATAGAGGATATTTGTATCCCCTCTAGGCTTCCATCTGGCTAGCCTAAACAAGCCACTGTCTCTTGGCTTTCTGTGCTAAAATAGGATATCTATTTCTCTGAATTTTGGAATAATCTTTCTTTTAAACCATGCATTTACTCATCCTCCCTTGCTTTCTATATACACATGCATGCATTTATTCACTCATCTTTACTGTTAGAAGAGATATTCATGTCTATATCCCTCCATCCATCCACGCATCTCGTGTATATGCACTTATATGCACCTGCCTACCCACTGAGGTTTTGACAATGAACATTCCACCATTTGAGCATTTCAGCACTTCTCATACTCCACTGCAGGAATTACTGACACCTGAAAATATCATGAACAGCCCCCAAAGACACCATCAAAAAGAGACCAGGGGAATGAGCTCAGGCTGGTATTTTTTTATTAATCCAGAGTATATTTTGGTTGCAGGCACAGAAATTATTTATACAAGGATATGATGAATGAGGGCCAGTGGGGAGCAGATGCCAATGGGTTGGCTTCATTTACCAGGTTGTTTCTGGACAGACTTCTGGACGAACTTCATAGGGAGGGCTTCATGGACGACCATGCAGGTAAAGATGTCTCCATTATTCCAGCTGGACTTGTTGATGTTCAGCTTGCTGTAGAGGAAGTAGGGTGAATCCCCAGGAGTCTCTTTCATGGGTGCGGTGGTGGCATAGGCATTGTCCTTCACGGGGGTCTGATTGTGCATCCACTGCACTGAGATGTCCTCAGGGTAGAAGCCCTCGACCAGGCAGGTGATGCTGACAGGATTCTCTTTCTTGTTGAGGTCGTCATGGTGGGGGGCAAAGACGTAGACATCAGGGGCACTCTGCTTACCTTTGGGGAAAGGGAAGAGGTGAAGGAGTGAGGAGACACAGGTGAGCTGCTCATATCAGGCAGCTGGGTCTATATGGAGTGGTGGGCCTGTAGGGACATACTTTGGGATGGAGGAAGTGGGTGGGGTGTCCCCCCTTCACTTGAGGATGGAAGAGTGGGAGCCCCAGACATTTGGGAGTAAAAGGGGGCACCATTCAGTCTCTGTATGG